AGAACTCGTTGCGGCCGGCGCTGGATTCGACTTACGCCGCTCCTTACTCCAAGCAGGCCTGGTTGGTCTTCCTGAGAACACAGAGGTTCCTCTACCGCAACGTCCAGTACACGTTTGGACGGCTCTCCGGGTCGATCGCTCTCGGCCTTTTGCTCGGCTCGGTCTACTACAAGATCGCCACCAACGATACGTTCTCGGTCACGTCCCGGTCGCTTTTCATCTACATCCAGGTGATGCTACTGGGTGTGATCATCGCCAACAACGTCGTCCCCCAGCTTGGAACGGACAGGTTGGTCTACCACAGGGAACAGCGAGCAGCGATGTACGCTCCAATCTTCTATCCGGTGTCTTGGGCGATCGCGGAGATCCCATACCTGTTCATCGCGACGCTGGTGTTCGTGGGGATCTCAAACGGGCTGGCAGCGATCGCGACGCAGAGCGTGAGCAGCTTCGTCACGTACTGGCTGTGCCTCTTCGTCTTCACCACCACCGTGATGTACTTCGGTATGTTCATCACCATCGCCACCCCGGTTCCAGTGCTGGCGGCGTTCGTGGTGTCCATCACGAACTCCATCTGGGTCTCGGCCTCCGGCGTGATCGTCCCAAAGGCCAAGATGGGATTTTGCGAGTGGGTCTTCTGGGCGAATCCATTCCAGTACGTGACGCACGCGCTGACGAGCGTGAGCTTCTTCTGCGACACCGCGAGCGCGGCGTGCGCGAGCTGCCGGGTGGGCGATGCGAATTCGTGCGCGGGATGCCACTGCCCGCGGCTGCTCAACGCCGAGAGCTCCGATCCGGGGAGCTTGCCGGTGTTCGTGTGGGATCGATTGAGCTCGCAGCGATCGCTGGAGGTGGAGAGGGTCTCGCTGGATTTCGTCGCTCTGGGCGGGATGAGCGTCCTCTTCGCGCTGCTTTCTTTCCTCGCCTTCGTGTGGATGAAGCACAACAGAGGATGAAGAAGAAGCGCAAAATCAACGGTCCAGATGAGCTCTCATTTTTTAATTCAACGGCCTCGATGAAACGGGCAAACGTGCCCACCGTTGTGGCATATTCACCGAATCTCCAACAGGGTTAGGGTTTATGGCAAGCGGCATTGTTTTGTGCGTGATCAACCGGTCGTCCAGGGCGGATCGTGTGCGCGGCGCCGCCGAGTAGCAGCTAGATCGCGCACTCTCACAGCAGCGCCGAATCTTTCTTCCTTTTTTCTATTCCCTCTGATCAATCGCCGCCGCGGCGCTTATCTTGCTAATAATCTCGCTTTGCGCGCCGCGGATTCCACATCAAGATCGCGTGCGGTGCCGCTGTCCAGCCAATTCATCCAGCACTTCTCTCCCTTTTGTCCGGGCTCTCTTGGTTCGATCGATCATCCAGTTCCAGGTAGATTCCTTGCGCGAGGGCTTCCAATGCTAGCGCCGGCCATTCGCTAGGTACGATAGAGAGAAGAAATCGCGGGCACACAAGGGGGGGCCGGGTGATGATGGGAGTTATCATAAAATTTGCAAAGCGGGTGTTCTACAGTGGAACAACGTGAATGGTATGGTCTGGCAAGTGGCAGTGATAGGATTTCTTCCAGAATGGGGCTCGGGGGGTCTATGGCACCGCCAGGAGCTACGAGTAGCTCGAATTTTTTGTGACAGCGTGTGGGAACTACCTATGTAGCTATAGATTTCTCGCTACTGGCAGCCGAGAAGTAGCAGTAGCAGCACAGTGGTACAGACAGGCACAGGGAAAGGATGGTCCGTGTGAGCAGCAGCGATGGATGATTCACTCCCCGACAAGCACGCCATTCTTAATTGCTGATGCTGCTGCTACAGCTCCGGTGAGCATTTCGTAAGCACTCCATCAGAGACCCTCGTGGATGAAAGAAATGGGATGGGGCTTTCGCCAGGAAAGTTCCGGTTTTGATGACGATGGCAGCGAGAAGTTTGTCATGGGGTCTCCGTGGTCGCGCGAGGTTTCCTAGAGTAGCTTCGAGGTAGCATAGAGGGCTTTGGTGCCTGGGAAGATGCCCTTCCCATGGAGCAAATCTTCGAAGAAATCGTCGTCCAATTCTTCCGGTAAGGATAAGGCTGACAACAGCAAGCTTTACTCTCTCGGGAAGAAGGGTCCGCGGTTGTCAGGCGAGGATGACGGGTCTTCGAGGGGCTCCAGGAGTAGTTACGATTCTTCGGCCAGGGTGGTAGCGGCGGATGCTCCTACATTCTCGCCTTCGTCTGCCGGAATTCGAAGCCCGCTCTTTCCCGAGCCGCAGGCATTCAAGGGACAGCCTCTTCCTTTGCCGGAAAGTACTACCAAGATTCAGCTTTGCAATGGAACTCTTCCGCTGCCGACGTATGACCAAGTCGAGTTTAAGCACGAGGTTGCCGAATTGGACGGGACGACTTCGGGATATGGTTCTGGTTCTATCTCCAGTGGAAGCTCCACAAGCAGTGGGGAAGCAGCGGACGCTTGGCTTGGAAGTTCCAATCGCCAGCAAACCGATCAAAATGGACACGCAAACTCCTTGTAAGCTTTTACTTTATGTTTTTAACTTTCGCGAGAAGTGCTTGCTCACCTGGTTTCTTTCTTTTTTCTTTCAGCTCACTTCAGAAAAACCAAAACAGAGCTGGAAGAAATCCACACCAGAAAGAGGCGGTTCCGAAGACGGTACCTCCAGGAAATAAGACGAGCTCCGTCTCCCCATTGCGAGCTCGTGCTGCGGCGGCAAAACAAGGCATGCATTTACATCTACCGGCACGTAGCGCACCAACCAGCCTCATCTCCAGTCCTTCTCACAGTCCAAGACGTTTAAGTTCGTCGGAGCAACAGGCTTTGTTCCAGAACTACAGTGCTGTGACGAACTCCACAAACCAGGGACGAAACAGTCCAGAAAAATCTCCTCTTGCAAGTCCGATACGAGGCGGTTCGAGGATTCAAAGTGGTGCTGTCTCTCCCCTGCACCATTCAAGTTCCAGAGGTACAGACTCGCCTAGTGTCGGGCATCGGCTCCCTCCGCCACCGGCATTTACAAACTCGACAGTAAATTCTCCAGCGTCATCTACATTTCCTCTCGGTTCACCGCCTGGCATGCCTTCGCACAGTCCGATCAGGTGGCAAAAAGGAAACCTCCTTGGTGTTGGCTCTTTTGGACGAGTGTACAAAGGCTTTAGGTATGCTTCTGATATTCTCGGCCTACTCCACGAGCTGATGGTTTGTTTTTCTTTGTTTGCAGTGATAGTGGTACCTTTTGTGCAATGAAAGAAGTCCTAGTTGTGGATGATCCTAAGTCTATAGAATCTGTAAAACAGCTAATGCAGGTATGCTGCCGTTCTCATTGCACGTTCCTGTCACTGACTGGTGTTTCAGGAAATAAATATGCTAAGTAGTTTAAGACATCCTAACATTGTTCAATACCTTGGCTCAGAAATGGTAAGGTTAAGGTATCTCTTAACTAGATGTCTCATTTCTCCTTTCTTGCTGCCTGCAGCTGGACGATAGTTTGTATATTTATTTGGAGTTCGTTTCCGGAGGCTCGATACACAAGGTGCTCCAGGAATATGGTGCTTTCAAAGAGCCCGTCATTCGTAGCTATACGCAGCAAATCCTATCTGGACTCCAATACTTGCACAGTATGAACAAAGTTCACCGGTTCGTTGACTCTGTACTCTTGCGGGCTTCTATTAACAGCGCCTTTATTACAGAGACATCAAAGGTGCGAACATTCTCGTTGACACTAATGGTGAAGTCAAGCTAGCGGATTTTGGAATGGCCAAGCATGTAAGTAGCAAGCTGTGGTTTTTGTTGTTTACTTATCCATCCACGCTTCAGATATCTTCTAGTTCACTTGTGCTATCTTTTAAAGGAAGTCCCTACTGGATGGCTCCTGAGGTATGTCCACGTTTTCTTTCTTCTAATACTTCTATGACACCGTCACACGGCTACTCCTTTTTAGGTTTTCAAGAGTAATGCGCAAAGCTATCCAGTGGATATCTGGAGTCTAGGATGTACAATCATTGAAATGGCAACTGGAAAACCACCATGGAGCCAGTACGAGGGGGTATGTATTTTTTTGTAGTTTCTGTGCGTGCTCACTTACTTGTACACAGATTGCAGCCATGTTCAAGATTGGAAACAGTAAGGAGACTCCTACAATACCGGACACCTTATCGCCAGTGGCGAAGGAGTTTATCAGGTTGTGCTTACAGCGAAATCCCGACGATCGTCCAACAGCTTCTCAACTATTAGAGCACCCCTTTGTCAAGTTTTTGCACGATGAACATCTTCCGGATGGCCTTCCACCTCTGTCGCCAACATTTCGCTCAGTGGTACGTGATATTCTTTGTTTTCCATTCTTTTGTTTCTTTTGGATGATGTTGAGTGATCAACCTGCATGATCATCCAGGTTGCGAATTTAAGCCACGATAGAGGGGGACAGTATCATCCGCGGTAATGTTTTTTAAGCACAAAAACGATACGCTGACGATTGTTTCTCGCTTTTGCTTTTGTAGAGATCTCATGTCTCCTGTTAGCAGCAATTCGGCCTACACGAGATCAATCTATTCCAGCTATGGAGGTCTCACACCAATTATCACATCTGGAACTTCCACACCCCAAACCGAGGAAGCTCCAGCCGGGTTTGCGAAGGACAGATATACCATGGCTTCAAGAGTGAACGGAATGCACATAAGAAACGAGCCAAGATTTACGGCGACTGCTGTTTCGTCACCAGGGACTAGAAGTCCAAGGGCTGCTCAAAGGAGCGAGTTCGTGTGGAATCCACCGGTACAGCTCACTCCGGATGCCAGTCCAAGGCGTATGTCCAGCGATATCTTGAGTACAAACTCTAGATTCTATGCAAATTCTCTTCTCGGTAAGCAAGCTCTTCCTTTTTCCTTGCTTTGACACCAAAGTTTCTATTTTGCTTTCCAGATAACAAGTGATAGAGCTGTATATGAAGAAGATCCGGCAAAGCAAACTGGAACTTAAGCCAAAAGATTTTACGAAGTAGAGTAAGCTTCGAATTTCAGGGAGAAAATGTTCGATTAATTCATGCGCAATGTACATTTTTTTCATTTTTCTTGCAGACTTTCGGTCATCATCTAACAGCCATTCCTACGCAAGTACATCCAGAAGAGAGGAGACAGAAAAAGAGGAAGAGAGAAACCGATAACGAGCGAGCTTTTGGAGGAAAGGAAGGAAGAATGTATATAAGCTTTCCTCAGGTAACTGGATCCTCGAGCCTGGCAGCCACGATATCGTTGATCCGTGGATACGAAACCTTCTCGTCGAGCTGGTTCTGGGACCAGATGAGCATCTTGAGCAGGCTGGGAAGCTTTGGATCCTTCTCGTGGCTCTGGCTCGTCAGGATGGCGGCGTTCAATTCACTCGCAGTCTTCTGGCGCTGCGAGAAGTCGAGCAAATCTCCCACCGGGCAATTCGAAGTGTCCTCGAACGCCAGGAGCGCCACAGTCCGCTCCAGCTCCTCGAGGAAGCTGTGGTTTTCTTCTCCACGAGGAGCTAGCTCCTCCTGTGCAAACTCCAAGGCTTCCTCGAGCTTCCCTGGATCCAAAACGTAGAAAAAAAGGAAGGTGTAAGACAAAGATCTATAATTCTAGAAAAAAAAAATCCATTGGAACCATTGATACGCAAAGGAAGAGATCGCGAGAACTCTACCAAAGAAAGAAAAAAAACTATCCACAAGGAAAGAGATCACTTCTAATCTATCACTCCTATACACAAGGAGAGAAATCATTTCTAGCAGCGAGACCATCTATCACTCCTACACAAAGAGATCACTTCTAGCAGCCAGGCCATCAATCAAAGGATCGCACAGAGCTAACGAGACAATCTCCAAAAACAAACGAGCGCGCTATGGAGAGGAAATCCAAAAGAGAGGGAGGCGATGGATCGATCTAAGAAGGAGAAGGAAATGCGAGACTCACCACTTCTAATCAGCTCGATGAGCCTCTGTTGCTGGAGGTGGAAGAAGAGCTGTGGATTGGTGTCGAGGATCTCGGGATTCAAGTCATTCACCTTCTCGATCGCGTCCTCCACATTGCCGCACTGCACCGCCTTGCGCACCGCCATTCTGTCGGTGATTGACCCCAAATCCACCTCCGGCGAGGTGCCCGATTCGTGCTGGAATTTCTCCGCCGCGTCCACATAGCCTTCGGTCACCAGGAAATTCATCACCAGCTTGTTCATGTCCTCCTTCCGGATCTTCACCTCGGCCAGCTTCCGCTCCCATTCCTCGCGACTCACGATCTTCTTCGACGATGACTCCCCTTTGCCCATGGCTGTGATACCCTAACAGCGAAGAACCCTAAAAAATGGGCAAAACGAAAGCCTGCTTTTTAGGGTTCTTGGGCAAACAAGAAAGGGGCGAAAGAAAACGAAATGAAAGCGCATTCTCGCCCCGCCGGCAATGCGCTCTTCGTCTTCCATCTCGTCGCGTTTCTCTGGTGAGGATTTCTAGCGCCTTGGGCTCTTCCAATCGATTGCTTTTCAGGTTTTTGTACACCTTTAGCTGGCATTTTGGCCGCGCGGCGAGCAAGCTCCCCCAGTCGCAAGGATTTGGCTGGTTCTTCAAGGTTTAGAGAAATTTTGAGCGATTTCTTCTTCGTTTGATCGATTTCTTCCTTGATTTCTCCTCGCAGTATCTCACTTTCTGCGGATTCACGTTGCAATTGGTATCACTGCTCGTCTGCCTCTTGTCCCACCTATTTCCGGAGGTGAGCAGCACGAATTTTTCTCTTTTCTTTTGGTATGGAAACGAGAGGGAGCATCGCAGATTAGAGTCGAGGCTTGAAGCGTGCGGCGGATGATTTGTCTTGCACCACCTTCGCGATTGCCAATGTCATCACGGCCATGCACTGGGTCCTCTACTTCACTACCGCAGCTCCAGTCGAAGCATCTGCCACTGCCAAAATCGAGACCACCGTCACTCGGAGTTTGTAAGTTCCCTTCTATCGTTCTTCCTCCTCTACTTTCTTTGTTCTTGACTTAACAGTTGCTTTCTCTCTCTCGCAGAAACGTCCAGACTTCTTCACCACTGTGGCTGAATCTGACAGTCCATTTGGCGAACGCCATTGTCGCCTGGACCGACGTCCACGTTTCCGATAGAACTTTCAGGTACTTCGCTCCATCTTTCTCTCCAGTGAAGAACACGTTTTGTGTTTCGCTGCAGGAAGTCGTCACTCAACCAGTCTCTCATCTTCTGCCTTGTCTACACCACCTGGATCCAAGTCTGTGCCTTCAAGAACAAGGTGAAAAGAAAGAAAAAGCGAAGAAAACTTCTACTAAGCTCAGCTCGCGTGTGAACAAACAGATGTATCCATACCCGTTCCTCAACAAGCTCCCGCAGCCGGAAGGATTCATCGCCACGGTCGCGGTCGCGGTGACCCTCACCTTCGCCTTCTTCAAAGCCGGCTCCACATTGGCGAGCGTCCAAACCTCCCGGCGACTAGCCAAGCTCAAAGCCATGTAAGTCCATCTTTCTCCTTCATAAAAGAGCTAAAAATCTACTTTTTCAATCTTTCTTTCGAGCATCAAAAAGCTCGCGAAAACCCTTAGCGCGAGGGCTTTAGCAGCATGTCGGACTACAGCGACTCCGAAGACGACTACGACGATCGCGAAGCGGACATAGCTTGCGACTGGAGCGATGGCCCCAAGCAGCAAAACGACCCGCTCTTCAAGCTCCACTGCCAGCTCTGCTCGTGTCCGCTCGCCGTCACGTTCCACTCGTCCATCGGCGCCGTGGATTTCAGCGAGCGCCAGGCCGTGGTGGCGGTCCTCCCGTGCAACCATTGCTTCCACTCGGTGTGCCTCGACGACTACTCGTCTTCGTCCCAGCAGCTCCGGTGCCCGGTTTTCAAAGGACCGTCTCTGGCGTGTGCCGAGTTCCAGGAACGGCAGAGGCTGGCGGAGCAGCACCAGCGCGAGAGGGAGAGGCTGGCGGAGCAGCGGCGGCGCGAGAAAGAGAGGTTGGCGGCGCAGCAGCGGCTCGAGCAGGAGGCTGCGAGAGCTGCTTCATCCAAAGGTAAGAGTAAGAAAGGTGGCGCCATCGCCACCGCCACCGCTGCGATCGCGAAAGCTGTGGGCTTGAAGAAGAACACGAAGAAGAAGGGAGCGTCGCCCATAGCATCCAAGAAGACAGGAAAAAAGTGATTTTTTTCGTTCGATCATTCGCTTAGTTCTGGGTCTTAAATTAATGTCGGCCGTTGGATGTCGCGCGGGGTTTAGGGTTCTTGCGCTTCAGGAAAATGGTGAGGGAATCAAGCGTGGAGCAGCTCTTGGGCAATCTCTTCCCTCATTTGCACCGATGAGATTGAAGAGATCGCACGGATTCTACACGGGCAGGGCACGGTCATGGGCAAGGTGGCGGAGCTAGGAGTGTCTAAGTGGGTTTGCTTGCCAAGAACTTCTATGGAATGGTGTTAGATTGCAAATTTGAATACAAGAATAACACTAATAAAAAACAGTGTTTGCATCATGTGTTCTTGGGGGAGCGGAAATCAATGCTCGTTTGCTAAGTCTTCTTGCTGCCAGCGCTACCTCGAATGGTTTCCAAGGCACAGCATTGGAGAAGCACAGGAGTATGAGCTCATCGGAGTCCAAGCTTGACAAGGCTATTTGCTATCGAATTTCCCAACCTGGAGCTGTGCAATCGGATCCAGCGGCAAGTGCGACCAAAGATGTGGCTGGAGCTAGCCAAGAGTGGCATGGATGCAGAGGAACTCCAGACCGTGAGCTCCTTGTTCGATGAGAAGGAAGTTGGCGCACTCTATGGATACCGAGTGCTGCTCAGAAGGAAGCTAGTAGGGACTGGTCGAAGGTGAGCAAGGAGATTGAGTACGTTGAAGCAATGGGCAGGTTGGTGCAGTGATGGAGGATCTTTCTCAATGTGCGAGCTCTCAACGCGCAGCACTGCCAAGCTGTGGCTGGGTTGGTGCATCTCATGTGCGTGGAGCGTTGTGTTCACGGATATGGCAATGGTTTTGCGTGATACGGGTCTTCGGTCCTAGAGATTTCAAAGTGCATGCCGCAAACTACCGCCACCTTTGTTCTTAAAAGTTGATGGAATAACAACATCTCAAAGTCGATCCTAAATGCATGCTAAACAATCCTCAACCACTTTTCGACTTTGGAACCTCCTTCCATTGTTGACTTGAGTAGCTCCTGAACCTCATCATCTCCATGGGACTATGGGTTTGGGGACTGATGACTAGTCGTACCTTTTTCTCTTCCTGGTCAACTGCGAGACGTCCTCGTCAACGCAGTTGACTATCTGCGCATAGAATTCGAAAGTTGACCGTCAAAAATGCATTGAATACGCTGTCCCTTGTCAAGAATCTTCGCTGATGTCGAACGAGAGCTGTGTAAACGCTCGCACCCGGTGGATTCGCCGTTCGAGCTGCAGAGCTCTACCGTTATTGCCGTCTGAATCCTGTACACTGGATGAACGATTCTGGAGACGACGTGACACTCTTCAATACATTCCCCCTTTTTCACCTAGATTTCAAGAAATTGAAAATTTGGAAAAGAATTTTTCGCAAAACCTCATGGGTCGGAATATGACTTATACTTCGAGACACACAGACAGGTCATCAGATGCATACTCTACAACCCAAGAAGTAATAGCAATGAAATCGCCGCACTATTTAAATAAAAGACTTTCAATTGCGCTTGGGCATGTGGGATAATTGAGCTTTGCCCTAGACCTAATTGAGTTTAGGGCAGATAACTCCCCTCCAGTTTGAGGTACGCATTGAAGACAAATTTGTACTTGTCGCGATCACCACCTTCACACGTCCCACAAATGTTACCACTTCTTGGAGATTCTGGAGACAACAGCAGAGCTCCCAAACCCGAGAGCCGCTGCGCCTTTGCAAATGGCAGCACCCGGTGATGGAGGAGCGATCACTGTTCTTGTTACGGTCCTATAAACGTAAGAAAGGTGGCGTGGCCGCCAGCTATCGAGCGCCACCCAAAGCATGGAAGAAGACAGGATTTTTTCTTCAATCATTCCAGTAGAAACTTATCTTTGGTTTTTTCCTTCTTGGAAGAACTTATCGCTAACCAGCTGATCCATCCTGGCTCGCCAATCTCCTCCCATCCTGGTTCGCCCATCTCCTCCGCTCCTCGGCCTCGTCAACCGGGTGGTACCACTCGGGCTTGGTCTTTGGATTGCTCAGCCGATAGTTTAGCAGCAGCTCCTCGTTGCAAACGTTCCTGGTTGTGACGAGCACCAGACCTCGCAAATAAGTTGGATCCCTGTCCTTGGCGCTCAAAACCTCCGGCAATGGAACCTTGCTCCAGCTCTTGCCTCTCCGCTCCATGTTCTTCACGGTGTCGTCCTCGAAGCGGAGATTTGGAATGTAAGGCCGCATGTCCTCCTCGTGCTCCGGGAAATCGTAGGGGCAGATCATCACGTTCGGGAGCTGGCCTTTCGGGGGATGATTCACGAAGTGAGCCAGAGCCAACGGGTTCCTGCGCTCGATCACTTCGATCTTGAGCCTGCTCGGCGGTGGAGTGTCGTCCTCGTCCTTGACTTCGATCAGAGCTTTGAAGCGATCTCCAATCTTCTTCTCTTTGCCACCCTGTGATGCAGCTTCTCCCTCGCTCGCCTTGTCTACCATAGCTTCCTCTCCCTGTTCTTCTTTTCTATCTTCCAGATCCTCTTCCTTCTCTTCGGGTTCATCGTAGCCATCCCAGAATTCCCTGCTCGTCCCTCCTTTACCCCACGACTTTCCATCGATCACGTAGCCTTCGTACCTCGAGACGAGATAAGGATTGTCGAGCTTCGGATACCCGGGGATGTACCAGTACTTGGCCGGCGAGTATATGACTCCTGGATACAAAGCCACCACTGTTCCAGTCCTCGCTATCCCTTCCAGAAACAATCCTTGGCCAGCATTGTGTCCAGGAACTTCCGAGTCTTTGAGATGGAGTGAAAATCCCAGCTGGTTCTTCAGCGCTTCGTCGATATCGTATTTTCCCAGCGAGGCTGTTGCTGGAGGACCTGTGCTGCAAAACAAGCTCAAGAACATCACCCAAGAAGAAAAATAAAACAAAACAAAACAAAAAAATGGAGATCGAAAGAGAGAAAAAGAAAGAAAAATCACCTAAGAGTTTCTGGACTTCGATGTCGGGCTTGCTTTTGGTCACTGCGAATGCGAGCCCGCTGGGCCTCTTAAATCCCTCCTCAAGCGATTTTTTTCTCTCGCAACCCGCTAGAAAGATGGTGTCTAGAGCGCGACTGATATTTCTCACTTGGTCGTGGATGTTTTCTTGTACCTGGTGTTCTTGGTCAGGGAAAGGCACCGTCCTCCCCAGCTGCTCGATCCTGTCCAGATCCTCGTCGGTAGCACTCGAATCCAGCCGACGATAGCTGCGAAGATTTCCAGAAATGCCTCAGCGAGACTAGATTTTGCTGCGAGGCAAATACCTCGTCAGAAGAAACAGCCTCGAGATATCGATCTCCTTCTGGACTTTGCGATAATCGGGGACCACGATCTTGGATTTCGCGGTGAGGAATCCATCCCAGAGCTGCATGGCAAGAAGAATCGAGTGATTCCAGAGCTACATTTCCGCAGAATCGCCACAAGTCTTACCACGCGAAGGCGCTGGATCGCCATTGCTGGGAAAAACCCCTAGGGCTTTAAAAGCATATGCCGGGAATAAGTTCTCGTGACGTGGCAAAATTCTGCCACGTCACTAAGTAAAGCCTTTTTACAAGTATTTTGGAGAGAAGCTCAACGAGAAACGCAAACTTACGCGCGAGTAAGCTCCATTCTGGAAAAAAGGAAAAAAGTGAGATGAAACACACAAACTTTGATGGATTTACCGCAGAAAGAACGAAGATCTCTCAGGTGAAGCACTTTGGAAACGTCCAGATGATGAAGCGAATGAAAGCATCGGTTTCCAGGAACTCGATGTGAGCGGTGCGGCCGATGAAGGCGTTGAAAGTCCTGGCCTGCGAGGAGATGTCGAAGTTGACATCGCAGCGTATCAAGTTTCGCTGCCGGAGTGGCGACGGCGTCTTGAGTTGCAGCAGGCAATTGTGGAGCATGACTGCAAATGCCGGGCCTCGTTTTGCGTCACGGAGAGCCGCCTGGCACATCTCTATCCTGGCCGAGTGATATGGTACATAGCGATCCTGGAACAAAACCGAGGAAACTATTGAGAGTTTGAAAGTTTTCGCTTACCTGGGGTGAGGAGAGCAAGATGACATGTTGGAACAGCTCGAAAGTCTTGGCCTGCGAATGCCAAATCGTCACCAAAACACGAAGAACAAACACGATGGTTTGTACCTGGCTTAGCTTGAAAAGAAAAGAGTCCTCGATATTCGTCTTGTCGGAGAAAGTTAGCTGGTGCATCAAAGCCGAGCCTTTCCATTTCTTCAGTATCCAGAGGCCCGAGTTGAAAAGCGGGTTTGAGCTGTAGAGATAGCCGAGATGTGGACCAGATATGGATAAGAAAGTGTACAAGTACTTGAGGTAAGGTTGCAATGAAGTCTCTGCGAACAAAATCATACCAAGACAATTTAAAAGCTGTGGAAAAATACAACTATATACCCATCAATGCAGCTCGAATGATCAGATTCCCGATAGAGTGTCCCACAAAACTGATCTTAAAGTTTCTGTAGGCTCCATATTTCCTTGGTTTGCTCATTCTCGACTTTAGAAACTCGGCCGCTTCGTCTGCCAGCCGGCCTCCTAGCTCGGACAAGTCGCCGGACGTTCGCTCCTCGTTGGCGAGAGACATAAGAACCTCGGCTTCAGGATCAGCTAAAAGCCAGTGATTGCGAACGAGTCTCAAATCCAAATGGTGGCCCTGAGTCGATCAATGAGTTAAAATTGTTGTAAGTGAATAAAAAACAGTAGAATACTTACTTGAAAACCATGAACAAATATTATCAGCCTTAACTCGTCGATGCCTCTGCCACTTGTTTCTTCGGCATCTCCAATCTGTTCATGCTCCACAAAGATAATGGGTTGTTGTGAAGGCCTTCCAAACAAATGCATATCTTCAAAGTCACATCCAATCTGCAAAGCTAAAAGATTAAAAAACATCCCACTTGAGCCATGCCATAACAAAATAGATTTCGTACCGGTGTTTGCATGAGACTTTTCCGATGTATCTCAGCACGATTTACTGCCCATTTCTAAACAGAAAACAAAAAAAAGAATGATTAAATCACTAAGTCTTTGCAGCAACGTACATCTTCAGACTCCCTCGTGCCAGTAAGCTCTGAATGCCTCACCCACATGAGACAGTGAGCGTATCTTTCTTGATTCCAAGAATTGCGGAGCGAGGTGCAAAAGAAATCCTTGTTTTCCCTGTAGCTAAAGTATCAACAAGGAAAGTGTACAAGTGTATGTACCTATGAAGTTTCATGAAAAGATTCCATAGGCCAGAGAGCTGATCCTCAAGCTCTTGGCTTGCTCCTTTATTCCCCTGTAAAGTTTCCAAAGTCGTCTCAGGCACAAAAACTAGAATAAAATAATGAAGCGTCATACCGTGATCTCCTCTTGAAGCTGCTCTATGCTTCCAAACGCGTTGAGCAGCGACACAAGAGCATTCCTAGATGAAAGCAGTACTTTATGCACTTCCACGCTCTATGACCTGGAGATGTTAGAGAATCAGTCGTTGTTTAGCACCCTCTACGAACCTTTAACGAGTTTCTGGTAGCAAGGTTGTAACCGGCTGCATTATATGGAGAAAGAGTAGAGATTTGCGAAGCTTACCCTTCAGTTGCAGCATGAAGAGGTTCGATCTCGTGGTGCGAAGTGCTGAGTATCACCGTGTGTACGAAGACATCGACCAGAGCCATATGGCTTGCATCAAAGTGCAAAGGACAGTAAGCGTGTGCACCGTGAACAGCTCGCGGCGAAAGCCGGTAACAGTGGCTTGCAACGGTGGGTAACTCCATATGCATCGAGTTGAAAAACCTTCCAAAGACAAGAGAAAAAGGAAAACACGTAACTAAGAGCGTGAGATGGATGCAAACTCGTACAAAAAGCCGTCCAAAGGAGCAAAAAGGAGGTGGAACTTGATGAGAGCTGATGAGTTGAGAATCTCCTGCAAAGTGATCCAACGAACGGTGTATCAGCAAAAGCAAAAGTGAAAGAGAAAAGAGAGGAAAAAGGAAAGAGGAAAAAGGAGACCTCCACAGATTTAAAAGCAAGGCTGAACGAGACCATCATAGCCAGAAACACGTCTTGGCGAGCATACTTGATCTTGAAAGGGCGTGTGCAGAAGCTGTGATCGGTGTCATTTATATGCCAAACAGTCGAGAGTCCATCGCTCGCACCTAAGTAACAAGACAAGAACGCGCGTTCAAAGAGATACAAAAAAACCAAGAAAGAAAAACAAAACTTCGAGGGAAAATCTCAAGAAAAAATTGGAAGGAAGATGACCTTCGTATTGCACGACTCGAGTGGGAATTCCAGCTTCTCGATCGTTTCCCTCCCAAGCGCAAGTGACCTTCAATGCATACCATCTGGATGGATGGGGCGGCAGCGGGATTTCTAGCTCAAATCTCGAAGAATTCTGGAAGAGAGGAACGCATTTTTCTTACCCTTGCTGCCAGAGATCCAGGTTGTGGAAGCGCTCGATGTACAAGGAAACCTCAAGCGCAATGTCCATTTCGTCCACTAGCACCAACAAGCCCTACATTTGGGTTTACTTTACACTTCCTTTGTATGTGTGCTTTCTTTGAGTTTAATAAATTGTTACCTAAATTTATAGCATAAAAAAATTAAAGTGTTTAGCTTAAATACCTTTAACGTTTTGTTTGTGTGTTTTAAATTTACTTCAGATAATCTGCGGTAAAAAGCTTATCACTCAACAAACACGTTTCATCTCACAATAGGACAAAACATATATATATTCATTATGCCAAAGACAGATTTAGTGTAGCTCCTTGCCCTTTAATTTCTGTAATTTTATTCTTTCACTCCTCCTCAAGGTACGATTGCAGCTCCTATTGCAGCTACTGTGCTTGGAACATAAGATGCTATTAGCCATAGCAAGAGCAGAACATGTAATGACATTCAAGAGTATGCCCAGCAGGTTTCTGGAACTTGGTTTCGAGAGGGGATAAAAGCAGATTTAGTTGCCCATAGTTGACAAACACATCCGCATGATTGTCATAGCGGATCACCACCCCGTCACTCACACAATTTCCAAAGCAACCAATCCACACAAAGTAGGTGTAGTAAGGCTTCTCTCCCTTGAATAAAAAAGGCTCCTTTTCCTTGACTCTGAGCAGGAACTTCTGCTTGTTATCATACATTTGCTCCGGGTTAAGGTCGTCCATGATACCGGCTTGTAGCACAAATGCTTTGCGATACATGGCAACACTGATCACCGGCCACACAGCAGTGGCTGGGTCGGAATCCAAGTAGACCTCCATGAAGTCGTCCACCATTTATCGCGTGCGCTCCTCCACAATCTTTCTGCCACAATCTTTTCTCCCACAGGAACCAGCCCCGCAGCCTCAGCACCGTTGCGACTGCCAAAGTGCAATTCCATCACCATAGTACTCTTGTGCGAGAAGAGGGGCTAGCCATGGAAGAGGACCTCTTCCATGCCGAGTGTGGCACCCTGGATTGCTCGCACAGGCAAGCGCATCTCCCGTCCTTGTTCTTGTACAGAAAATCCCCATTCCCGGCATTGTTGAACTCGTTCAACTGACCGCTTTTAAGCTCAGAGCCGCCAAAGCCTCCAATGCCCATGCACTGGCCGGGCCTTTCTCGAGCTTGCCAAGGGCATCGTCAACCCCATCGGCATAATAGGTAAGTACAAGAGGGCGGTAGTAGAACTTCAGGAGCAGCGGCGAGAACCCGGTGAGGTGCCGCACACTGTCGTCCACCGGCGGCTTACCGGCGTGCCGCGCAAACCAGTTGAGCTCCTCGCCATCGAAGGTTTCTGGCATGTCAAAGAAGGCATTTGCAACACCACAGTCGGGAGAGGCACCAGCGCGAGCACAGAAACCAAGGACCCCTCCCTCTGTTATGTCTTTCAGGAGATCCATAGCGGCCCTCTTATCCTCCGCTGTTCTGTCGGGGATAGCGAGCATGAAGCAGAGCTTCTCTGGGCGGTTCTTGATCCACTGTACTAGACGATCGCGGGACTTGAGGGCCATGATCTCGTTCACGACGGCCGCTTCACCACCAAAAGCCACGCCCAGGTTGGACTGGAGGACAACCAAGGGCATGCATCTGAAGAAGGGTCCGCAGAGATACACCGCCTGGGAGGGGAGTTGTGCCTTAGAACTGAGCAGGAGGACGCTATCGACTTACCTTGCATCGGTTTTGCGTCGTGAGAAAGGCAGCGAGTGTGGCGAGTAGGAAAGTTTTGCCACAGCCGGGTAGCCCCCTGATGCATCCACGGCCGCCGGGCGCTAGGCTTGTGACAAAGGCGGCAGCGTCACGGAAGCAGGCCCGGCCCATGAAGTCGCTCCAGATGGTCTCCTCTAGGAAGTCCGAGGGCAGGCGCACAGGAGTGAGAGAGCGCTCGCTGCACAGCTGCTGCTCGGCCACCCCGCACAGGCTCTTCTGCATCTCCTGCCAGCTTTCGATGATCCTCCAAGCCATCTAAATCCTTGAAAACATTGCTAGGTTTTTTGCCTCCAAGCGCCA